TGCTTTTGCTGTCATGAAAGTAGAGAAAAATGAAGCATAAATCACATTACAGTCATACACTTTTTTCTTAACCTCAGTTGATTCTAATCTCTTGGTTGCAGTTTTTTAATCTAAACATATACCTATAGTCATTGCAAGATATTTCTTGCTAATCACAAGGTTTTGAGAAGTTGCAGGGAGTAATACTAATATTCCACCAGTTGGTCTGATGCAGAGCATGTTTCTCCTCTGCTACCATTATGGAAGCAGATACACTAGCAATAGAAGCATAGTATAACAATAATGGCATTATCACTCCCATCTTTACTTACTTTCTCAACACAAAGTCATTCCCAAATTGAAAAACAAAAGCGTATAACCTTGCAAGTATTGCTTAAGAGCTGCATTCTTTATTAATCACTCTCATCAGTGATGTTGATACGTGTTGATCAGCATCAAAGTCATTGGAGCAAATGCCCGTTTGGATTTCAGTTGGGTATAACAGATTATGAAAATAATTAATTAAGTGGTAGATTTTAATCATAATTAATTATATTATAACGCAATGTGTTTGGATACCATTTTTTTTAAAACTAATTTTTAATAGAATTGAAGATGTTTGAATAATTTAATTAAAATTAATTTTTAACCATATAAATTACTATATAATTTAATTTTTAAATATTAAATATTAATTTTTTTGAAGATACAAAATTTAAATTTTATTAAGAAAGAAAAAGGGAAAAGAAGAGAGTTTGATTTTATTTTTATTAAATTATGTGCTTTTTTTGTAATTTTTTCTTGGGCCTATCTTTGTAATTTTCCCCAACGTTTTTGACAAACTTTTGGCAGAAAGCGGATGGAAGGAGCTTCCGGAAAAACACGTATCTTGTCTCATAATCGATTTTTGATCACTTTCGACTGTTTGGATAAATTGGCTGAAAAAATTAATTTTTTCCCTTATTCAAACAGGCACTAAGTCTAAAGAGAAATAATGAGAGATGGTAGAGTTGAAGTATGCTATTATTGGTTTATGTATGTGTGTCATATTAAAGACTTTTCCAGACGTGTTCTTCCTCAACCTGGATTTGTACTGCACATACTTTCATTGACAACTATAGCGCTAATTTTCAATGCCAAACTTATAAAATAGCATTTTGAAAACAACCATAATTAAAAGTATGATACTAATTTTTTTTTCCTAATTGTTTTGAGAACTCAAAGCAGGAGGGGAAAGATCATTGTTTCTATTTTGTTTTTAATAAAAAGATTAAATAATAAAAAAGAGAATTAATTATAGAACACAAGTTTGAGAGAAAGATAATGGAGAGGGGGAAGGAAAAAAGGACCTACCCTGATATACATTAAAAATCATTGCTCTAAATTAAATGATTCTAAAGTAATAGAACAATGCCTATAACAGTTCCCCTCTCTCTGTTTGGATTAAAAAATCTACAACTAAGATTATAAATTAACTGAAGTTAGCAAACTGAGATTAAGAAAAAAGACTGTAATAATAATGTGATTTATATGTTTAGATACCTTTTTTATTTTTTTTTTCAAAAATCAGCTAGACAAATTAAAATTTGTTTGCATGGTTTGATTCAAAAATCAGTTAAGATATATAATGAAAAAATTTGACATGAATTTTATTATATATATATATATATATATATTTTTAGGAAAAAATATTAAGCTTAAAATTACAATTTTCAAATAAGTAGATTACAAATATAAAAAGCATTAATTAGTCAAAAATCTTGATTTTTTAAAAAGGTAGAATTAAATTATAAAATTCAAAAAACTCATAAAAGCTAAAATAAATTCATAAATTACAAACTATTTGATTCATATTATCTGCAATTTGGTCTCACTTTGCAAACCTTTTTTCATTCTAACACTATTATATTTTCTCCCTCTATTTAATAGTTTACAAATAAAGTTATACTAAATGGAGTGTATTTTAATTAAATAATGAAACAAGATTTTATTTTTTTTTTCAAATTATAATTAAATATAAAATAATAAAACAAACACTCATCTTCTCTCCCATCCACGCCCACCCACTTTCGCATCCTCTCTCTGTTGAATTCAAGTCACACAAGTCATCTACCATTACTAACTTGTAGAGTCGGGAATAAGGGCAGGGCTTAAAAGATTAGATTTGAAAGCCCTGTTTAAATAAGAGTTCGAGCTTTAGAAATTAAATTTTTTTAATGTAACTGGGCTTGAAGTCCTAACCTTGAGAAGCCCTATAAAAAAAAGCTCGGGCTCGGGTGGCCCTTCAAGTCTTGTTATATTATTATTATTATTATTATTTTGGTGGAACACGCATTTGAAGCAAAGAAGGACCTGCTCACCTCAAGCCATAATCCTACATAGATTATATTATTATTAATTTAATTTATTTTAAAATTGATTTAATATAATTTAATAAATATCAGTGTGTAGTATAAAATTTTTAATATTTTTTATTTTTCTATAATTATTATGTTTGTGTATTTATAAAAAAAATGAACTTTTTTTCACCAAGATTTGAATTTTCTTACTAGACTTCTAAATGTATGTTGTTTAATTTCTAAAAGATTATGAAGATTTTTATTTTTAAAAAAATTTTAAAATATTTTAATTATTTATAGTGCTTAATTTTATTTTAATTTTTTAATTTTTTTTTAAAATAGGGCTTACGAGCATGGCTTTGAGCCCTTCAAATAAGGGTCAGGCCTCAAAAAAGGATGAAAAATGAGAAATCGACCTTAAGAGCTTAGGCCTTTATGAGCCGAGATCATGAAGGCTAGGCCCATAAGGACCGAGCCCACTCTTTTTTCCAACTCTAACTAATCTTCTTGACTTACACTCTCACACCCTTAGAACTCAAGGTGCCACATATACACATATAAAAACATACACAATGAGCACCTTCCTCCTCCTCTTCCTCTTTTCCTTCAAGCCCTTGCTTCTTCCTTAATTTGTGGAAGTCTCCATAAACCCTTTCAACATCATCTCCCCTCTATACCCCTTCCTTCCATCTTCTTCTCCCTCTCCCCACCACCAATGCATTTGTCATCTCCCTCTCTACCTCAATGAATGAAGGACAGCGACAAAGACAAAGCAGGCACGATGATCCTCAACCTCTATGGAAGGCAATGGTGGTGAGCAAAAATATGAGTAATGATGATGATGCTAGAGGTAATGACTAGTGCCTCTTGAAGTGAAGAATGCATAGGATAAGGACTAGAGAGAGGAATCTGACAATAAATGCCCCACCAACATTCATAACATGCGTAAAAAAAGCTTTTTTTACCAGCATTTTTGTATATTAATTCCTCTTGTTAGTTTAAATTTTAATTTCAAAATTTGAGTTCCATTCAAATAAGAAATAGTCATTTTCAAACTTTATGATATAAAAAATTTTAAATATAATGATTAAAAAAGGACATTATAAATTAACCTGAATAATAAAGAAATAACAAAAACATGGTTTTGGCTGTAAAGCTTTATGGTTTTTATTTGTACAATCGATGCATGTTTCTCCTCTAAGAATACATGAAAAGAGGAAGCCTTTTATATGCCTTGAATAATGATGAAGAAGCTAAAGAGTTGGATCGGAGCAAGAGAGTGAATGCTATAAAAGGAATAGCAAATGCCTGTGCATCATGATTGTGCTCCTCCAATCAACCATTTAGACATAATAAGTAGTAATATATTGTTCAACTCAAAGATGGAGGCTTGTATATCTAACTTTGGCACAAGTCTTTGATCCAAATTCATCGAACCAAACTCTTTTAGTTTGTACTTATGGTTATGTTGCTTTAGGTTAGCTTTTCCAACTCTACTACTTCTTTTGTTGTGTTGTGTTTAAGTTTTAACAATTTTTTTTTTATCTTGGAAGTAATTTACTACATGATTTCTTTAATTTTTGGTCCATCACAAAGCTTTCATACACCTTAGTTATGACCAAAAAATGTGATATTTATAGTTTTAAAGTAGTTATATTGAAAATAATCTTTGGAAAACATTCAGGAGTCTTAATATCATTTTTGTCAAAGAGATTCACTGAAAGCATCTTGTTAAAAGATGTGTTAGATCCACGCCTCCCATTACCATCGAGAGAAGGAGCAAGAGATGTGATTGCTTGTTTCACAATAACATCAACATGCTTGAATCCATCTCCCAAATAAAGACCATCAATGTAACAAGTGACTCAAAGGCTATTAATCTCAAACTGTAGCCATTAGCTATTCCTTTCAATAATATCTCAATAATCCTGCATTTAGTGAGTCAAGATATTCAAGTAATTTAGTCTTGTAAACTGCTAGGATGTATAGCAATATATATGTTTGCTTGGTACCATTTTGGAAGAAACTTTTAACACAGACTAACCGCAAAGTCTAGATATGATTTTTGAAGGTTTTCATCTGTTTAATTTCTTGTAGCTAATGTTTGTCTATAAAAAACCTCATTCTTTTGAGGTAACGCCAACACCCCCACCCCTGCGGGTATATCCACATCCCCTCAACACAGTCAAACAAACTACATATTTTTGTTCTTATATTTAGCCACCATTAACCAGTATGTGGCGTGTGCGATGCATGAAATTTGAAAAAAAAAATTATTTAAATAAATAGTAATAATTAAAAAAAATTAAAATTCAAAAATGTTATTATGTGAAAAAAAATTTTTTTACTAATGTTTAAATAACTTGAAGGAATCGATATAACGAACAATGTTTAAAGATGAATTTAAAAAGAGACAATAAAGTAAAACACATGTTTCTAATATAAAAAATTCATTTCTTTATTTTCATTTATGGCAAAATATGGAAAAAAAAATTATTTGTTTTTCTATCTTAATGACCAAAATACAAAGCTAACAATCACTTGAATAACATGTAAATCAACAAAATAAGCACATGAACAGAGTTTATAAGAATAATATGATCCAAGTCTAGATCTTCAAACTCGTAGTTGAACGGAAACAAAACCAAAGTCATAGAATAAGATAGATTCACGTTCATTTGGTACAGAGCTTGAGCACTTTCTCCATCATCTTTATCTCCACCTTTAATGCATCAATAACAACTGTAATTAGGAAATTTTCATATAGATTTCAAAGGAAAATGATAGAAATTCACAATAAAGCTTGAGAAATTATGACTTTGACATCTTTAGTTTAATCTTTATAGTAGAGGATGAGATCTCAGAACAAAATTTACTTGCAAAGGAAAACAAAGTCACTAAGTGTAAAAAACAAATCTTATTTGATGAAATGAGAGAGAATTTTGAGAAGTCAAATAGAAAAATTTACCTTTGAACATGTATAAGATGGCTGGTCTCCATTGATGGTCACAAAAAGGAAGGCATGTAGCCCGTAACCTTCAAAATGCAAGAGTTATAAAATAAAAATGGTAGTTATAAATTTATAATTTGTACAATAAGTGAAAATTAGTACAACCAATCCATGTTAGGAAAAACTGAACACCATTTAACACTTCATTCTGCAACCACCTTATCCCAACACTAGTGCAAAAGGAGTTTTTCACCACAGTTAAAAATTATTTTTTGCGACAGAACATAGTATGTGGTAGAAGAAAGTATGGTAGTAAATCACATTTTTTACCACAGTTCTACTGTGAACTGTGGCAAAAAAGGTCATTTATTACCACAAGTCCGAGCTAGACCTGTGGTCATAAATGGTGAAAAGAAGCATTTATGGCCTCAGGTCTATCTTGGACCTGTGGCCGTAAATGGAATTTTTTGCCACAGTTATAGTGAATAGTTGTGGCGATAAGTGCTTTGTTTTTTTTTTTTTCAAAGAATCACTCATAACTATATACATTTCTTACTAATTACAGAGTTTACATAAATATATAACATTAGCTCCAAAGACCAGTGCAAACATATCAATTAAATATATGTATCTCCAATACAAATATCTATAAACTATTTGCTCGAATCTTGTTAATTCCAAGAAGAAACTGGACCAAATTTTACATATATGTCTCATTTCTTATTTAGAATATGGCTTTGAACTTGTGAAATATTGCAAAGTCAATAACAATGTACACATGAATAACAATTTAAGTATAAAGTGACATTCAAAATATAAAGCATTAAAAACATATTATTACCTCATCAAATGAGTGAATAATAACTTGAGTAATGATTTCATTAATAAAAAACATCACATAATAATCACACTTTACACTTCCTGGTGTTGAGAGCACTACTAAGAAAATAAAATTAATTCAATACATAAAACCAATAATATAATCTTCATTTTAATTAGAAAATAAATTTGAAATACTTACTTGAATACGTACTCACTTGATTTCATTTTTCTTCTTGTCAACTTTATTTGCTAACCTTCAATAATGAAGTAAAGATCTATTTATCAAATATATACAGTTAGAAAATATTAAATATATGCTAATAATATTTCCACTTGAATTTATAGATACAAGCTCCTTTGTTTGCTCCAAAAAAAAAAAGAAAAAGGATACAAGCTCCTTTCTCTATATCAGTCACTAAACTTGTAGTTTCGTCCCTCTTCATCTATGGCAATCACCACTTCAGAACCATAATATCATTTTTTTCAAAAATAAAAAAGTGAATGAATATATAAATTGATTTGAGTATTTTTGCTCCTAGCTTTTTTGGAAGGAAGAATATGACATGCTTGTGAGGAATTGGACGATAGCGTTGAGGAATTATTAATTCTTCAAGGCAAAGATCCACTTGCATTTTTTCCTTTTGTTTCAAAATAAAAGTAGCTTGCAATTAAAGTGTTCTATAACCAGGAACTAGTCAATGTATCTTGGGGTATATATTTTTTCTCGGTTTCTGTCCTTTTTATTTTTTAGTTTTAGATTAGATGCTGAAGTACAACAAGACTAAGAGAGGACACAATTTTTCGTGTTATACTGGTCATACTCTTTTCTGTTTCTCTGTTGTCAAGCTCAAGAAAATTATTTCACTATAGAAAATCAAGTAAAAGACCTGGAATATTTATAGTTTGTTTGAGTAATTCTTAAGTATGTTCAAACTTAGCCAATACCTACAAAAATAAGTGAACAAACATCTTGGTCCTCAAATAAATCTGGTTTCATTTTAGTACTTCAAAGAGTATTTTATCTTCAATATTATTCTTATGTTAAACCCAATCCAATCAATAGAGATGGGCACCTTCACCTAAAGTGAAGCCAATGCAAATGGTAGGTGTTAAGTTGCCATTTAAACATGCCATGACAGAGCACCAACGTGAAGATCTACAAAATATCTAGAGAACTAAAATAGGACGGTAAAACTTTGATGAACTAAAATAATCCAGAGGACCAAAATATATAACTTTGAAGAGATCACAAAAACACAAACATAAGAGATATATGCCTCACTTAATACTTACAAATATTGGAGCGCGGTCACTCTACTAGAGTTTGGAATGGCACCCCACAGAGTATTGTTAGACAATATCCTAACAAACATAAATAAAACCAAAAGCCTTGATGAACAAATATGAAACTTCAGCTACCCATGCTAATAATACACATGAAATAAGCACAATTTGATTTGGCAAGATGTTTATTCATCTTACAGGTCTGTAACATCATGGAGGTTTGTCATGTTTTGAGGTACAGAGCCAGTAAAAAAATTATTTTCCAAGCAAATGTAGCCATAGAAGAATGTTATTGTGAGAATGCATCGAGAATATTTTTGTCAATGAATTAGTTTGAGTAGGTGATAGCAAGGAGACTTACACCACCTTCAAATTTTGAGCACATCCAAGTGTTTTGGAAATGTTACTAGTAAGTTTATTGTTATTCAAGATCCTGCCAAAAAAATGTTTCCTTAACTCAACAGGCTGACAAAAAGAAGATATCCTCATAAAAAATGCTAGAAAAAGATGTAATAAAATGCTGGAAAATTGCTGAAAAAATGGAAAACATGCTGGAAAAATGATGGAAAAAATTAAAAAAATACTGGAAAAAATGTAATAAAATGATGAAAAAAATGGGAAAAATGCTGGAAAAGATGTAAAAAAAAAAAAAAAAAGTACTAGTTGAGAGGCGGCAGAGAGCAAGAGGGAAAGGATGAATGTGGAGGTGGAAGCAAGCTGAGGGCAGTAGAGAGCTAGAGGTGCGTGGGTCACAAGATAGCACGAGCTGAGGGGTTGAGCTAAGAGAGCTGGGGGTGACACAAGCTAAGGGGTGAAGCTGTGAGAACTGAGGGGCGGAGCTAAGAAAGCTAGAGGCTACATGAGCTGAGGGGAGGAGTTGAGAGAGATGGTGGGCAGAGCTGAGGAGGTAGTCGAAACTAAAGAGCTAAGGGCAAGAGCTGTGGGAGAGTTACAAATGACGCGCAAGAGTTATAGGCAATTGTGATTTTAAGGAGCAGGAGCTAAATAGCAAGACTTTTGGCGATAGGTCCCCATTAAACCTATCGCTGTAAATCATCTATGGTGACAAGTTTAGCCAAAGGTCACTTTTAAAAAAAATTAAAAATAAAATTTTAACAAGTGAGTTGTAAGACATTTGGCGACAGGTCTCATTGAGAGCTGTCGCCATATGTCCTTTTTAAAAAAATTATTATAGTAAATTTTGATTAATAATTATTGTAGCTAAAAATTAATTAATTTCAATTATTAATTAATAATTAAAATATATTAAATTCTCTTAATTAGTTCATAATTTAATTTTACTAATTAATTTAATTTTTTAGTTAAATGTCATTTAATTAATTTTAGACTTTAATTTATAATTTTAATTAATTAAATTAATTTTCTTTATTAATAACTTAATTTTCCTAACTTTTTTAACTTAATGTCTCTAAATTTAGACACCTTAAGTTAATTAAATCACTTAATTAACTAAAATTATATATTATTAAATAAATTTTATCAATTGATTAATTAAGTTTCTTATAAACATGCAATTTAAATTAAATTCAATAATTAAATAATTAATTTTTATTATTAAATAAAGTAATTAGTTTCTTAAAAATGAACCTAAATGATCAACTATGGCGACAGGTTTTATGGGGACCTGTCGCCATAGGTCCATTTTCTAAAAAAAAAATTAAAAAAACTAGAAATAAGAGTTGTGGGAAAAGAGACATGGCGATAGGTTTCATTATGTCATTTTTTTACTTATTATAGTAATCATTAATTAATAATTATTGTAATTAATATTTAATTATTTTTAAAATTATGAGTAATTTCATGAAATTTTAAAATATAAATTAAAATTTCCCAAAAAAATTAAAAATCAAAATTTTTAAAATTAAAATTTAAAATTATGGGCAAGAAGTTGGTCTATTTGGATAATGGATGGATTTTTTTGGAGATGAGGAGGATATACATAATTTTGTTATTCTTTTATATTAGAAAGTAAAAATTTTAAAAAAAGAAACTAATGAGAAGTTGAGATAATATGGAGATATTAGAGAGGTGAGGTAGTTTTATTTATATTTAAGAATTAAAAATCAAATAAAGCAAAATTACATCAAAAACACATGTCATTAAGAGGATGTTGCTCGTGGTTCTACTAATATTTGTAAAATTTAAATATAAATCTAGCTGTAATTTTAACAAATGTTTAAAATTAAAATCTCAAATTTTCAATAATTTTTGAAATGGAAATTTTAAAATTAAAATTTATAATTATGAGTAAGAAGTTGTAAAGTTTGGATGATGGAAGGATTTTTTTGATATTATTTTAAAGTTAGAAATTTTGAGATTATAAATAAATTAATTAATGAGGAGTTGGGAAAATATAGAGATATTTGGGGAAGGTAGTTTTGCTTATGTTTAAAAGTTAACAAATAAATAAATCAAAATTACATAAGAGACATATGTCATCTCTAGAATGCTGCTTGCAGTTACACTTAAATATATACACACACAGAATAATGTAGAAATATTTGGAGGTGAGGTAATTTTATTTACTTTTTGAAATTTAAAGTTAATATAAATAACTTCACTTGAAGAAGGTGAGATAATGGGAAGCTATTTGAGGGTAAGTTTTATCTATTTTAAAAAATTAAAAATTAAAAAATAAATAAATAATATAATTAAGGACACATGTCATCATTAAATGTTACTTGTAATTCTACTTTTATATATATAGATTATATGTACTATAAGTTTATTGAAATACTTTTGCTAATGATTATTAATTTTCAATAATAAAAAGAGTAAAGCATTTGGCATCAATTATTATACAGTTGCGTATTTGCATTAATATGGATTCAGTTTTATTATTGAAATTAATATGATAGTAATTAACAGAAAATTGAATATTTCAAACATATTCTTTATAAAATATATATTATTTCTATAAATTGAGTGTGCATTTAAAATACACACACTATGACATATAAAATCCATTCTTTAACAATTGTATGCCATCAAATTTGAGATTAACAGAAGAGACCCATACAGTATTGCTAGTAAATGTTGCACATCTCAGCCTTCTCAATTGTAGTTGTTGGCTAATTTTATTCCTTCAATACCCGTCCATATATAGTTTTTGACTGATTGATATATCCAAAGATCGAAGTGTTTATTTCAAACCATCCCTTGAAATCCAAATTCCTAATTGAGCTGATTGTTATAAAACAAAAAAACGGTACACATTATACAGTTATTTCTAAAGAAATTATATAAATATATTATATCTTTTTCAAAACCTAAAATTGTTTAATTCTTTGGGATTCAGAAGTTATACATTTTTTAATGATTTTTATAATATTATATTTTTTTGTACAAGATTTTTTTTTTTGTTTTGAAAAGAGGAAGTTCATCATACCATTTAACGGTAGTCCCCCACTGTCCTGCCCAATTAATCGGACCCGGCTTCTTTCCATTTTTTCCCTTCATTTCCTCTCCCCTTCCCATTTCAACTATTGAATCCATTCTTCACTTCATACAATTATTATTAAAAAGTGAAATTTTATGAAAAATAAATATAATAATAATTTTACAAAATATTAAATCTCAAATATTCAAAAATGAATCAAATAATTGAGATGAGAAATAGAGAGGAAATGGAGAGAAAAGGAAATAGAGAGAAACCAAGTTTCAATTAATCGGCCAACTACACCCCCATAGCCATATTTTCTTTTTTCGGGCCCAGATTTAAACTCTTTTGTCTTTGTCACTATTACTGTTTCCGTTAACAGAATCCATTGTCGGTTAAAAATGTGATTTCCTTCATTCTTATGCAATAATAGACAATTGAACTGCTTTATTTGATAAGAAAACACACGTAGAAGGATAATTTAACAAAATAATAATAATTTTTTGCCAGTAAAAAATTAGCCGAAAGTGACCCAAGTATCTAAAATGAGAGTATACTGGAGGACATCCAGCTAAATTAATCAAGAATTTTTGCAAAATTTAATTATAATTTTTAGTGTGGCTACAAATAAAACTAAACATATTAACTCACTGCTTAAAACTATTGTTTGAACCAAAATTAGTGCACTGGGCCAAGTAAGAAAATTCAATCAGACCCAACCAATTGGAGAGCAGACGCGGCCCATTAGCGATCTAGCCTTATGCTCACAAGTGGAATGACACATTTAGGAGATTATTGATGAGGTCGCATCCATTTTGTCCACCTCCTGAGATTCTCAACACACTCGCACTTAGCACTCCACATTAGTAATATCATTGAGTTTTACACTCATCATGGTGCACTACCTGGCTCTCCAAAGGAATTGTGGTAAAGAAATTTGAAAACCCCTTGATCATCTAATTGCAACTCACACTCTTGAAAAACTGCTCCTCTGATGAGCTTGGCATACACAAAAGGTTACAATGCTCCAACCCCTTCCTCAAAAATCAAACCAACAACTGTGATGAAATATTTTCAAATATTCCAAGCATAAAATGAATGTCTAACAAGCCCGGACCGTTATCATTCATGTCACACCCACTTGGTTCTAGGCTTACTCTATTTTATTTGTTGGTTTATGTGGAGTAATTTTTATTAACTTGCTTTCAACTGTAAAATAAATGCTAAACTCCACTGTAGTTTTATTTGTAAAATTTTCTTGTCAACTATATTCTTCATTAATTTCGCAGGGATATTCTAATGCAAAAAATTAAAAATTAATCTAAACTAATTTTTTTATCCAATTTTGAAGATACATTAAAAATCTTAAAGACTTGGTGTTCGTCCTAAAAATTAAAAATAGTAGTAAATTCTTTTTTCAAGGTTTCATAGGACGAAAATGTTGAGGTGTTCATTATTTTCATTGTAAACTCCGAAGACGGAAGACACTTAAATTCTGACAAAGATCATTAATAACATTATGATCTCTTTATTCTTTGATTTTTCAATACCATTAGAAAAAATAAAATATCTATTACAGTCGTTTTTAAAATCCTATTTCACAAATTAAGCAAGTCAAAGGCCAAAAATAAATGAAAAAAAAAATTATGTATAGATCCCGTGATATAGACTT